AAAGTGTCCAAGGATGGACTAGAACAAAGAATCTCAGAACAGATAAGTCACATTGTTAACCATATGCGACGCTAAGAAAATATTGACAAAGGAAGAAGCCTCAGTCAGAGGAGCTTGTAAAAGTACAGCAAGAAAAGGGCAAGGCAATAGCTTTTTAATATTTATTTATTTATTTAAAAGGGCAAAAAGTAGATTGATAAGAGTAAGCTGTTCATAGAAGCTAAATAAAAAAAGGTAATAGAATGTAATTGAAGAACCCAACTTCAAAGTAGTTCATTTTGATGAAGAATTGTTAAAATACAGAAGAGAACTTTATTTACTGTGTGAGAATTGTCTATTGTTCATGTCTATGCTAGCAAAATAAATCACAAAACATGTATTTTCTTCTATAATAATTGTGTCACTACAACCATTCCGTGCCCCCCCCCCCTTATTATAAATTATCAGTGTAAATGCCATATAGGAATTGCAACAGTTGGACTAATGTTGAGGTCTAGAAAGCACTATATGTTTACCCAAGGTAACTGGTACTGAATCTGTACTCTTGGATTAGCTTTCACCTGCTCCGAGTGCTGTCACAACATAGCCTTGCTCAGATTAATGTGTCTTCACTGTTTCTGCATGCCTGCATTACTGGATAATGTGTGGGTTGGCTGTTTGTTCTGTAATTCTAAGTTTCTTTTATTTTCCATTGTGGGATAACCTGTTTACCTTTTTTGGGGCCTTCTGGAGAAAGGATGGGAAAACTGTTGGAGGCAATTTATTGTCCAGAACTTGATAAGTTGTTGTGGTTTTTTTCTAGATGAAGTTCTGAGTAATAATGCAGTAATCCATTTTCATAAGAGAAAGTTTGTGCTTTTTAACAACAAAATTTACTAGGCAAGACAGTAGTGCCTCTGCATATCTTATCTTGTATTCTTATGTGCCTTGTAGAATTTCTCAGGTTCTTGTCTTGTTCTGGAAAGTATGCTGAGTAAAAACTTCACACTGCTGCGACCAGTGGCAGAATAGTGGGTTCGGGGCTTCACCCTGCATTTCCAAGAATAAAATACAGGCTCATTCTACATATCTACTGTTCCACTGATGTCAAGGGAGTTGTACTGTGGAAAAGCTTGTGGGATGAGATCTTACAGGCTCTTAACTTTACCATTTTATCTGTGTTAATGTCTACAAATGCTCAAGTTGGAATATGATCATGCCAGCTTTTTACATCAACACATCCAAAGGAAAGTGTTAGACCTCTCCAGAATTGTTTGTCATCAACTTGCATATCTGCAAAACATGTCATGATTTCAGAACATGCACACTGGCATGTGACAAAGAGGAACTTGCAGATGAATAAATCCTTATTCCACGGCAAAAACAGTGCCAATAAAAGGCTGTAAAGTGCCAAACAATTTTACTGTCAAACAGAATAATACCAGATTTCAGTGTAATAATGAAGGGACTAGCTTGAACTTAGAATGGATGAACTTTCCCAAATGAATTTGTAAATTAAGATTACATACAGCTCAACAAACCAATTCTAAAATATATAGAATAGAAGAACATTCTCCTGTCTGTCGTGTATTCCTACAGCCAACCCAGGACTAAATAGGTCTCATTTTTCTTTTGTATTTTAGGACAAGTTGTATATGCTAACCATTTCATAAATCTAACAGGAGAGAATTTAACCAGTATCAGTTTGTTTGAAACACACTGTGGAAATCTCATCTCTGATTTAATAAGCTTGTCCATCAACAAGTATATAAAGGTAACTTTTTTCTTTATGTAGGACACAGGCAGTTAGATGCTTGTATTGGGAACCATATGAATTAGGTATTGTACCAATGCATAGATGGCTTCTTACTGCTACATTTTAAATGTTATGTATGACTTTATATGTCCATGTTTTAAAGAGTGTTATTTGTTAGGAGCTCAAATTGTGTTATATTTATTCATGACCATCTGGCAGTTGAATGAGAGAGTAATATTGAAATGCACTGTGTACAGAGCAGAAGTGAGTGCCACACTTTCTAAGTTGTTCCAGGTTTAATGCCAAACATGGCACAGTCTAAAAGGTTTAGAGCTATAGATGCAAAAAAAAAAATCTTTTCAAACTCTCTGAACAGGAACAAAAAGAGAATAACTGTAATCCTGGCAGTAAGCTAACTGGACACTTACAGAATGTCATATTACAGTTTATTGTTGCACTGCTCCTATTTCTGTAACCTCATCTTTCTGTTACAGCGCTTTTATGTTTGTCAAGGGAAGACTTGTCCTTCTCTTTTCTTTTTCTTTCCTTCTGTAGCTGCAGTGTTTTTTCTCACTTGTTTTGAGCATTCCAAAGCTAGAAAGTCATAACAGTTCCATATAGCAACTAGTAAAAGAGCTGCGTAATCTTCTTTGTGTCATTGTGAAACCTCCTGTAGATGGGCATATGTGATCCATGAATGCAGGACTGAACTCTGAGAATAAGTGTCAGTGACCACTGTATAATTTATGCTTTCCTACTACAAAGGCATGAAAAATTGAGTCTCCTTTCTTTCATATTACTGCTTGGGGGGGAGGAATGGCTGTAATAGCATTTGATAACTGTTCTTTTAAACTGTCTTTCTGTAGAGAACTCTGTTACCTTTTAAAATCAGTTTTGATCTATTAAATTATCAGATAATACTGCAGCCTCCTCCCCCGTCAAAAGGCAAGTAGATGAGAGTAATTTTTTTAAAGGAAGATTCAAATACTATTTGTTGACCATTGTGCTTGATGGTAGGCTTTGAAATGTCAGATGATAAAATGACAGATTCATCCTCCTTCCACAGAGCCACGTTACAAAGGGAGAGGATTGTTTTGCCACCGCTTTTTCTTCAGCTCTTCCCTAGGCTTGGGCCGCACAGATTGAACTAGTTGTATTGGAGATTCATTTCTGAAGTGGAGCTTGCACTTGAGCTGGATAATGCCTGTTCAGCTGGTGCTTGCTCTAGTATGCATTCATTGCTATAATCCAGTAATGGAAATAATGTCCCTTAAAATTGTTGAAAACAACTGATACCCATAATAGATGACACTGTCAGCTCATCACTAAAACATGACATTAAACTTTTGGCTGAGAATATTCACAAGCGCAACTCTTAACATTTGTGGATATCGCTGGAAGGAGAGACATAAACTCTAATCCGCCAAACTCATATTTTCAGACCTGTTTCTTGGGCAGCTCTGGTACCAAGACGCTTGACTTGGAACATGTACTGAGTCCATTGTGCTTTGAGATACGTTTGGCAGAGAAATATATATCCTTGGATATCTTCTTTCTGTTTTTAGCAGCATATCTCTGGCACCAGAGCTCTATTGTCCCAACAGTACCACAATTTGAGGTTATAACCATTCTTACCAAGATATTGAACTCAGGATGTTGCAAGAGGAAATCCATACTATCTCTGAAGAAGACAATGTCTCATTTATCTGTAGTCTAACCAATATCTGTATGGTGTCTTGCTTTGATACTACTAGCCAAACTGTGTCCTGGATGGGTACTGCGTATCTCCTGCAGAAGAGATCCTGCTATCTTGTAGAAGAGCACAGTAGTAGATGCAAGTAGTAGATGAAGAAACCTAGTTGCTGCAACAACTGGTACTTCCATGTAAAAGGCCTGAAACTCTCACTTGTAAGATAGTTTGTGTACCTAATACTTCCATAAAATCTTCCAGTGTTATAATGCATCTGCAATAAGTAGACTGCTCCTCTTTGAGGAATGTTTTGCTCTTTGGTGATGAATCATAACCAGAGTATTTCTGAGTCGTTTCAATTTTGGGAAGTTAAATATGGAATTTTTCAATAGGCTTTAGTGGTCACACTGATATTTATTCTCAAGATAATATTTACATAAGATTAATGCAGATTGTTGAGAGATTCCTATATCAAATCTTTAACTAAAAGCATGAGGAGATATAGGCACATGGAAAAACTCTAAACAGCGTATGTGGAATGTTAATAGTAGAATTATTTTAAATATGTTATTCTTGAGCTGATGATGTTCTGAAATCAATTGTCAGGGTCCACTTCAGCAATTTTATAGGGTAAGCAGGGTTCTTTATAGAGAGAGAAAAAACAAATTATGTGTCACACTTATAAATACATATAAATTTGTATTTATGATTAAGTGTTCAGTATTTAAACCTGATTTGGAGCTGTATGAAAAAAAAGTAGTTGTAAACATACTGTTCTAAAGGTAGATAATAAATAAAAAGTCTGTACCGTTATAGAATATTATACAGATTTGAAACTATTGGTGATGTACTTGTTCTTCTAATTTTGAGTGTGGTTTTTAGTCATTCACTCCCACTTCTGTAACGTCTGTTTCACACAACTACTGCTATCACTGGCATTGCGTGTTTTGATTTAATTTTTAATTTACACCATTAGGTGTCCAAATTCAGAAATTATTTTAAGTACCGATGTGATTTGAGAGTAGTTGTGCATGAATGGATCAGGAAGAGCTTGAGGATGTAAAAATCCAGGTTTGATCTCATCAGATCTAGGTGTAGAGGAGTTAGTTGGCTAAACTATTCACCCCAGGTTCTTTTTATTGTCAGGGAAGGATAGCAACAGTTTTTTCTCCTGCAGTGTTAGATGAATTAGTCTCTCTAGATGCCCATTTCCCTCTATTTGGTTTAGAGGGGTATAGGTTGATTATTCAAACTTGTACGACTCACTGTTTAGGGATAAATTGGTTATGAGCTCTTTGTCTTGCCTCTTTTCTTTCTGCATTTCTGCCACTGTGTCCTTGCTGAAGGTAAAATGTTCTGAATTATGCTATTTAAGCAAAGCTTTTCTCACTGTTTTTACCACTTCTGAATATAATTCAGTGGATTCATAGGTCCTAAGACAGAGTAGGTAAAGTTTTGTCTATACTATGATTATTTCACATGCAGTGCTGGTAGGTCTTAAAAACATTAAAGTGTACAGAGAATTTTTATGTATTTAGCACTTCCTTTTGCTGTTTTGCTTATTTTGTTTCACAATTCAGGGAATGTAAAACTGAAAGATGAATCACAAGAAGACTACTTTGCATTTGAAATGCATCAGTCTGAGTGAATTTTGTTAAATATGGAATAGTAATCAAATAACGTACATGACTTGAAATATGCTGTTTTCTGCATATTAAAAGAATGCCTTGCAGTAAATTTACTGAAAAGCAGATTTTGTGAAATGTTGTGGGAACATTAACATCGTCATGCCAACAAAAACATATTCTTCTAGCATTATGCCTAGTCATTAAGGATTTTTTTAGTTAAAAATAACAACAATAATAGCTATTAAATCATTTGAAATCTTTTTCTTCTCAAGAACATCAGGAAAATCTAATCAATCATTTTCTCTTTTCCCTACTGTCAGGCAATGAATCAGTATTTATTGCAATTCCTTTTCATTTGGGCCTCAGAAACCCATTTTCATTTGATTAAATAATGTTTGAGAGTGGCTCAGAGGAAACTAAGAGAGAGCATAACCTGTAACTTATGTAGAATTAGGAAACAGCCTTTGTTGTACGAGATACATATTTTGGATGTTAATGAAATAATGCACTTTCCAATATGTAATTGTAGCTATATTATTTACCTGCAAAAAACCCCAAACAACCAAAACCAGAGGAAATATTGGTACATAAAATGCAATTTCAAGAATAACACTTCTTTGAATAATTGTATTGTATGTTCTCTTTCAGGTAAGACCTTCCGAGGCTCTTACTAGTCACCATTATCCTTGTACCTGCATTAAGGAATTATGGATTCTACTTATTCAGCTGCTGGACCACAGAAATAAAGGGTCTCATACAGAGGTAAAGGAAGAATACTGTTACATATGCATGCATATTACATCTGTAATACGGTTGCCAAATGTTCCCACATTGCCACAAATTTACTAGTTCACATACCTGATTTTAGACCTGAACTTCATATTTGCTTTAGGAGGACTGCATGCTAACTATGACGCTTTAGGCCGCAATCTTGAATGTTCATCAAGTCCTGACTCTAGGTTTGCCGTGTACTGTTTGGTTATGACCTAGGGCACTAATAAGGAGTGCTCCTTGTGCTAAGGAAAGCAAAGCAAAGGAACAGACTGTGAAAGTTGTATGGTAGAACAAAAGAAAAGAAACCCTTTTTACCCATTTTAAAAAAATGTTATTTGCAATTTATGTCTTATGTCATGCAATGATTCATCTCCAGGCATTAGAAATATTGGTACAGTCGGACCATCTAGCCCATGTTTCTGTCTGTGTTACCCATACCTTAACCTATACAAGAACAACCTGATCTATGTTCTTGAATCTTGTAGTTGTTGACTTCTTTTGATGTCCTCTTTATACTTTATTGGAAAGGCCAGTCACTACCTGTACCAATATGACTTTATATGCCTCTTCAGGTTTTGGTTTTTTGTTTTGTTTTTCTTCTTTTTTTCTGATGTCTCCTACCTTCTGCCTTTTCTAGGCTGAAGAGTCTTACTGTATTCAGTCATCCATTTTACAGGTGCCATTCTCTACCTGTAGCCATCTTTGTCACCCTTCTTTGAGCCTTTTTCCGTACTACTACATCCTGTTTCGAATGGCAGAGTACCAGGATTGCGTGCAGTATGGGTTAGGTGACCATATGATTTTATACATTGCATAATGATGTTTTCTATTTAGTTCTTTTCCTTTGCTAATATTTTCTAGTGTTTTGATTTTTCTTTAACTGCTGTTTAGGATTGAGCTGATATTTCTCTGAATAAGACACTAAGAAGTGTCAAAATCCTTTGGAAGTTTTCTGAAAGAATCTTTATAAAAACCAAAGCTGCCATCTGTGGAATAAGTACTGTTCACTTAGTACAGAATGAAGTACTTCACTGTCATGGTTTAGCCCCAGCCTGCAGCTGAGTACCATGCAGCCTCTTGCTCACTTCTTTTCCCTGGTGGGATGGGGAGGAGAATCAGAAGACAAAGGTAAAAGTCATGGGTTGGGATAAGGACAGTTTACTGGGACAGCAAAGAGAGAGGAAAATAACATCAACACTACTTAGAATAGAATATACGAAGTGGGTGATACACAATGCAATTTGCTTACCGCCTGTAACTTGATGCCCAGCCTGTCCTTGAGTGGTAACCCCTCCTCCCCACCCAACCCCCCCTTTATGTACTAAGTATGATGTCATATGGTATGGAATATCCCTTTGGCTAGTTTGGGTCAGCTGTCCTGGCTGTGTCCCCTCCCAGCTTCTTGTGAAAGGTAACTCTGTCCCAGCTGAAAACCAGGACATTCACAGTAGAGTGACTAACTGATAGTTAGTTGTTAATGACAACAGATGTACACAAGTGATGCTTCGTTAGTGTTAAGTGTTGCACTGGCACTTTGGAGCATAACTTAGGATCAGGACCCAGCTAAGGTAGGTGAAATACAGGTGCAGAGAAGTCCTAGGGAGTTTCTGTATAATTAGGGAAGATAGGCATAGGCTGTAAGAAGTAGTAATATTGTGGTATAGACAGGGATCTGAGCCAAAAAGAATTAAATCAGTTTGTCAGTGCTAGAAGAGACTGGGAACAAAGCAGGGAATTTGAACTTCAGCTTGCTGCATTTCTGACTGACTCTCTACCATCTACTACTGTCTTCCTCTTGGTTAGGTTACTAACAAAAAGTTTTTCAAAAATCTGTTATAAAAAGTCTTCATTAAAGAAACTTAATCTCTCTCATGTGAGTGTTGGTGCACCATCCTATGTGTACGTCGTCATTCCATCAGCTTGCAATTTTGCTTGTGAAGTATGACACCATATTCATCCTTGTGACCAAAGCTTGTCCTTTCATGTTGCTTTCTACTGGCATTTGAGAGAGGACATTCTAAAGTAGCTCCAGGTTTTCTCTGGTAATACTGAACACTGCTTTTTGTTATTTTCTTTAAATGACTGTCATTGTGCTTGTTCTCTGTAAAAGCAAATTAACCAATAGGACAGTATTGTATAGAAAATTGTTAACATAGGATTTGTTATTCAACACAGTTCAAATTTACTTTTGCATTTTCTACAGTGTTTCTGGAGCTTGGTGAACAAAACTCTAAAGAATATCTTTGAAAGGCCAAGTAGTTCTGAAAAGGTGTCTGGTTTTGAAACAATTCAGTGTAAAGACCCATTGAGTTTTACCTGGTGGATTATTACTCATCTGGCATCACTCTACCAGTTTGATCGTAATGGAAATCTAGATGAAAAGGTGGGTGTGCTTTTTTTCTAAGTACCTAAAAGTCATAATTTATTTAGGTTTATAACTTTACTTGGTTATTTTTGTTGACAGAAAACAGTTCATGTTGTAATACAGGAATTCTCACACTCCTTTAAAAAAGGTCCTTTAAGGTTGATGGTGTTAATGTGTGCTTTCTACAAGTCAGTAAACATTCCAGGAGCTCCTGATGTGTTCGTGTTATACACCAGATATTCAGTAGATAACTGCATTAAGGAAACGTGAAATATCCCAACTGGTTAGAGGCACATACACTTAATGATGTAGCATATGTTTTAAGACTGTCTGCCAGCAGCATAAATGCTTCACTGGGTTTGTTGTTTTAGGAACTGAACGCATTAGATTGTACCGTATGAAGTATAAACCTCAAACATTGACTGTGTAATTGTTAATGCCACTGTTTTTTAAAAGTGGTAGTTCTGCAGTGGATAAATTCCAGTCTGTCTAATTGCATTCCCTTTGCATCACAGCAATGGCACGATAAGGTGGGTATGTATTTGTGTATACAGCATCTGTATCAGCTTAACTTGCTGTGTTTGTGTGCTACCAATAGACACTGTCTAATAACTGTTGAATTCAAGCTTCAGTTGAGGAAGTTCTAGCAGTAAGTTGCAAGACAGTTGCTTTTAGAAGATGGCTTTAGATTCTCCTATTGGCTAGAGCAGGCTAGTCCCAGATTAATCAGGTTCTTGTCTGTGAATCTAATTGTGAGGGACTTGACATGACCACACGTTCTGTAAGGGGCCTCAATGAGACCTTGCACATGCCATTCCTACACTTGTAAGATGTATGTAGAGCCACACGTGGTACTGATGCATCAAATTCCTTCATGGACCTCACCGCAGTTTTCTGCGGTTCTGGGGTCATGTTAACCCTGACCTTTCAGTCCCTTACTCTGAGATTCATCCTGCCTAGTTTTAAGTTTCTAATCATTACTTGGGAAGGAAATAGGCACTTGCTGAGGCAATTCATCCATTTTGAGAAGTATGAAAGCTTCCAGTTTTTCTTGATTGACTATAGAGGGAGCTGACTAGAAGCGAAAGAGATAACTGAAGACCCAGAAATCTAGTTTTTTGTGGGGTGGTCTTGGTTTTTTTGTTGTTTGGTTTTTTGGGTTTTTTTGTGTGTCTGATAGTGTTTTTGGCACTGGGTAGAATCAGGTTATGCCATCTTCTGTCATCTGTCCTGTTCTCTTATCTTTTGTCTCATTGTAGTTGTGTGTGTTTGGGGTGGTTTTTGTTTTTGCTTTTTCCCACATTTCAGCTGGATTGCTTATATTCCACAGTTTGCCAAGCATCAACTATATCTATCAGGCTTCTTGCACAAATTGTGCTTAATTACCCTTTCTTGTGAAGTGTCTTGTTATTTGTAACTTAATAGTGTGCATTGAAAGTGGAAAGATCATACTCTTTCTGTTAAAATCTTTACCATGAGTTCCCATCCTGACTTAGGACGAAAGGTTAAAAACCCAGAAACATGTTTGTGAACTGCAGATCTGTAAAAAGAGAAGAGGCCGATCATATCAGTTGATCGATTTGTTTTGATAACTTAAAATCCCTCCTCCCTTCATCTTTAGATCTTTAAAAGCATTAGTATCTAAAGAGAGAAGGAATGAAACGTTGAAATGTTGAACTTCGGTGAATGTTTTTAATCCTAAGTAAAATTAGACTTTCTAGTACAAGTAAGAATTACTTTCATTGATTTTTATCTTGCAAATTCCGTGATTTGTCTAAAGATAGAGAAGGTGCGGTAGCACAGTGCTTGAAGACTTAGTTGAAAAATTCATGACTATTTCTGGTCACTAGAAAACTTGAGGAATGTGGAACGCTTCTGCTGCTTGTGGGTTGACAGATCCTTTAGGATCCCGTGGCAGGATGCTCATTATCATGTGGTTCAGTCTTTTGTAGTAATACCTTGACAAAACAAAGCAACTTTTTACAGTGTATGAATGTGTAAGATTGCAGGCCACATCTGATTGTTACACTGAACGTTGTCTCAAGCTTCCCTTGCTTTTGTGCCATTACTATGGCAGTGGGAGAGCACCACAGTATATAGTGTATTTCAGAGGGACATTGGGAAGATAGAATTACTATACTTCTTGCTTATTAGAGGAACTTAGATGGAGAGAAAAGGTTATTCCCAGGTCGAATACAGAAACTAGTGCGAAGCAGACATCCTGGGTTTCTTATATTTTATGCCCTAATCAAAATGCAGTGATACTGTTTACTTTGATCATTGGATTTTTTCCCTGTCTCTCATACTATGTATTTAGCCTTGTGAGAGATTATTTTTTTGCCCCAGGCACTATATTATTTAAATAAGCCAAACATGTAGAATGGAAAAAAGGATTCCTGATGCTTTTACTTTAAAGTAGGAATCTGAGACGCAGTGACAGGAAGTGACTTGCCCAAGATTAAATAATATTTTTTCGTTAGAGCCCACCTGAGAGAAGAGAATTTTCAAGGTTCTATTTGTAAATCATGAGATCATCCTGCGTATGCACCTCTTAATGTTTCCAGTAGTCTTTCTGTTCAAACTGTTAGCTGTACTTCACATTTTTCTGTGTGTGGCTGTGAGTTTGTCCAGGCATCCCTGTTCTCTTAAGTGCCATAAGCGCTTACAAAACATCTATCAGTAATACCAGTGCCTTTTCATACACCACAAGAATGTATTCTGTCATAGATACCTAAAGAAATGGTTACTCTCAGCTATTTCTGTCCCCCTCCTCCCCCAAATTACAGCCTCAAACATTCTTTGGACATTATAAGATAAAATAGTCTGTGATATAAATTTGAGAAGTCAGTGGAATTACATCAAGGCTCAATGTAGTCCTGTTTTGTTGGTTAAACATCTGATATGATAACTTCATGACACATGCTTTCTTTTAATTAACTGTGATCAGAGGTGGGAGGGTGATGTGTCATAATGATGGTTATTCATGTGCTCTGTAGCAAAAATTGCCTCTAAACCTATGTCATCTGTGGAAGATTTTCAGTTTTTTAATGTGGTCTGCATGGCCTTGAGGTTATTATGAAAGGTTTTAAAATTCTAAATATGTTTCAGACTTGCTTCTTTTTATTTTTTCCCCTTTAGCTCATATAACATAATTCCAAATATGCAATGATTAATATATATTGAATATATATTTCATACATATGAAATGTTGGGGTTTTTTTCAAACTAGAAAATTTTGGCCAGGTTTCTTAGACTCTTATGAGGGATGTACAGTACATGTCTCTTTCCATAACCACACATTCAGGTCCCATTTCACTCTTCTGAAAAGCAGAATTTGTACATTTAAAAACCAAATGGGACCTGATGAGAAAATTTGCTACTTCTGAACATTGCAGGGGTCAATTTCAATATACTGTGGGCTAGGGAAATAGAGCCAGAATTACTTGGGGCTAAGAATTCATGTCTTTGAATAATCTGAAATGACTACGTGGCAAGATATGCAAACATGGACCTCCAGCTGAGAAGCCTAGTGTGGCTCTTCCAGGTAGTCAGCTGTTAGTCTTTGCAAAAGTTTCTCCCAGAGAACCCAGAGGGTCTCAGATCAAGTTTTTGGATTTAGCAGTCCTTTTATGCTCTGTAAGGTCTTCAAGTTCTGTAGGGGTGGAGGGAGGATGTTGTAAGCCAGCAGGTTTGGAGTAAGATGTAGATTGTACGTGTCCTCTGACAAGGATGGATTGTAAACAATTGCCATACCATATTGCCAGTGTAGCAGGGAATACTGTTAGGATGTAAATTTAGTAGGATTTGAATGAAACAAGTCTGTTAAAAGATGGAGACAATTGAGGCTAAAAAAAGAGTGCAGCAGGTGGTTGGTGTCATTCTTTCCTGAGTCTGGGCTGAACCTGGGTGCGCTCTTGTAATCAATTCCAGTTGGTGTCAGGAGTTTGCTCTAGATTAGTCCAGGATCTTGTAAGGTGATCAGCATACTACAGCTGACCTGAATTCATGTAGCATGACTCTCTTAATATCTACTCATCTGATAAATCTGGCTTTTGAGCAGTTGGTTAGCTTTACTTGGAGTCTGCAGTAGGACTATGCCAATATGTAGGTATTCACATAACATCAAGCTTTAAAATACAACAGTCAAAATAAAAATCTGATGTAAATACTAGCCAAAACTGCCTGGGAATGCTGATTATGCGCTTCCTGGATTTTACTCATTATTGAAGTGTTGCCTTTACTCCTGGGCTGCTTGTTGATGCAGTGGCCTTTCCTTATGACAGGATGCTGGCGCTGGTTTCATGATACAAGGGCTTTGGCATCAAGAACAGCTTAAGAAGTCCTGTTTGCCACCCTAGGAATGATATGCCTCTGCTGTTTTCACACAATTATTTGTGTCTCTATTCTGTGACTGAGGTCAGGCCCTCCTCCCTTTTTCATTCTTTCTTTCTTTCCTAAAGCTCCAGATCAGTTCACTGATCTGGTTCACTCTGTGTCCCACAAACAGAAGTGCTGGAACAACTGAGTGGCATGCTACAGCTGTGAGGGCAGCTGGCAGGATGAGAAGGAAGCAGTGGGAACTCCTTAATTGATACTGCTCAAGTTCCTGAATTCTGAAATTGCAGCTTTAGTGTAACTTTCTGCAGATCTGTCCTTTCATTCTTATGTGTTCCATAAACAGTCTACAGACTGTGACTTACGACCATTGGCAATCTTTCAGAATTCTTTTTTTCTTGTCTAAAAATG